TTTTTTGAGTGGATTTGTGGTTAATTGAGAGTGGATTTGGAAGTAAAGTTTGTGAGAATTAGTGTAGGATTTGATTGATGTGATAGATTTTAAAAATTTGTTTAATTGGTAGAAAATAAAGATTACCAAATTGCCCCTACTTATAAAAGTATTATAAAATGTTATTTTGTAATGTTATATTTAATTGTAAAAATGTTTACAAAGAGAAAAAAATTATGAAAAATTATTAAAATTAATATTTAAAAATTATAAAAAATATATCGTAGTAAAATGAATGTATTTTTAAACAGTTTCTTATATGAATACACCGACAATGTATAAAATAATACTTTTACAATGCATAAGGTCATCCGTTTCTGCGTTCTCTAGTCAATTATTCATCTTTCTATAAAATTTGTTTTATTCAATATACATTTTAATATAATTTTTCGATGTTTTCTATGAACGTCGGAAACCCACTTTATTATTTTCCTTTCAGAATATACATATATACGTATATATACATATACCAATTTTCCAAGTGCTACTTCAAATAATAATATATAGTACCAAAAGTTTTAGATTTATTTTGGATATCATATACAGCAAGTCTCATTTTGTTTATTATTTGATTTGAGATATAATACATGCATTATTATTTAGTTTATTTACAAGATATATAAGCGAAATCACAAATGATTAATTGTTTGAGATATACATTGATTGCAGACGTGACAGTTTCATCACTCACAGAGCCTTTTGTGATGCTTTGGCACAAGAAAGTGCAAGAGAGCCACCCAATTTGAGCAGTGCCATTGGCAACCAGCTATTTGGAAACAGTAACAACATGTCCTTAGGCTTATCTCAGAATTTGGGTGCTCAGATTCCTTCAATCCATGACCAAAACTCCCAACCCAGTGACCTATTGCGTTTCTGTGGTGCACCAAGGACTGGTCCATTTGACCACATTCTCCCACCAAACATAGCCTCACCCTTCAGACCCTCCTCACACCAAACCATGCAACTTCAAAACCCTCCATTCTTCATGCCAGAATCAAACCAAAACCAAAACCGAAACTACCATGATCACCAACAAGCTTTAATCTCAAACAAGCCTTTTCAAGGAATGATACAACTATCTGACCTCAACAACACCAACACCCCTTCTGCCTCCAACCTCTTCAACCTTCCTTTTCTATCCAACCGAGGCCACCACACCCCCAACTACTCCGAGGAACACCACTTCAACCCCACAAAAGCCTCAAATTTCTTCACAGAAGGCACCATAATCGGCACCGATCACCAAACAAGCTCCGCCACTGCCCTTTCGCTTTTCAGCACCACTCTCCAAAACACCACCAACTTGTCTCACATGTCAGCAACTGCACTGCTCCAAAAAGCTGCTCAAATGGGTGCTACAAGTTCCAGCACCAACAACTTCCATGCAACCGGACAAGCCACGGTGCAATTGAATAAGCGTCTGGATCAAGGCGTAACCGGTTACATCAACCTGTAACCGATTACGGCATTTCGGCTTGCTGTTCATGAAGTTGTAACCGGTTACGTCTCCCTGTAACCGATTACGCCTCACACTTCCTGCAACTCTATACTCCGACAACGCGCACTGCGGAAAGGATCTCCCGGATCATCTCTTCTTCTTTTCGAATACACACCCGTCACCAACTCAACTTCTTCAACCACTGCTTCCACGCTTGGCAGCTTCATCCACTCGGTCATCATCATGAACAACGTTCTCAACAACGTTCTTCCTCCTCCATTCAACATTCTCTGTCTTTTCATATGCTTTTATGCGGTGTTGCGTAATTCATAAAATACGTCGAGGGCATATGAGTCATTGTATGGTATTTCTTCGCAAATCCGCGCACCTAAAGCGAGATTGTATGTACAGTGTATTCTCACGAATCTCTGCTTTTCCGTCCGAGCAAATCTTCGCAAATCGGCACAAAAGAACAACGTATTCTTTCTAAATCAATCCTCTCTTATCCACGTGAACAGAAAAATCAGTTCAAACGAACCGAGCCTAGGAGAAAATTAAGAGTCGCCTGACTAAACTTTGGAAGTGCATAAACTTTGGAAGTACATGAAAAAGTCCACTCATTGAGAGGACATCACTTAAAATGAGTCTGTAAGTGTTAATAATTATTTCAAATTTAAATAACTTTTTTATCCAAATAAAAATGTAAAATAAAATTAAAATTCATTAAATTTAATTATCTTGTCCAAACAAAAGATTTAAAGCATACAAGTTAAGCTTTTTAAAATGGAAGAAAACTAAATTTGAAGAATTCGATACTATTGTTGTTTGTAGCAAAAATGTGGCTCTCAAGAAGTGTTAGGTTTTCTCTTCTTCCTTCCATTGTCAAGTTTCCTCCTTTTCTTCCAATCCACAATTCCCTCTTTTGCTCTCACTCTCAGTCTCAAACTTCCTTACACGACGACGCCGTCTCACAATTCAATCGCTTGCTTCATCAGCGTCATGTTCCTCCCATCTTCGAATTTGGAAAGATTTTGGGATTTCTTGTGAGGATGAAGCGTTACCCTACTGCTATTTCTCTCATTAAGCAAATGGAGCTCAAGGGAATTCACAATGACCTTGCTAATCTCAACCTCCTCATCAATTGTTGCTGTCACTTACACAAATTATCTTTCGCTTTCTCTGTATTTGCCAAGATTCTCAAACGGGGTTATCATTCAGATGCCATAACATTAACTACACTCGTCAGAGGTCTCTGTGATAAGGGTGAGGTCAAGGAAGCCCTCAACCTTCACGACAAAGTAATAGCACTAGGATCTCGGCTCAACCAATTTACTTACGTGACTCTGATTAATGGATTGAGCAAAATAGGAGAAACTAAAGCCGCCATCGAATTGTTCAGAACGATTCAAGGTCAATCAACCGTAATGTACAACATTATTATTGACTCTTTATTAAAAGAGAATCATCCGAAAGAAGCTTATGGTTTGTATTCTGAGATGGTTATCAAGGGAATTTCTCCTGATCTTATTACTTATAATACTCTAATTTATGGCTTTTGCTTAGTAGGACAGGTAGAGGTAGCATTTGGTTTCCTAAATAAAATGGTATCAAATAGCATCAGGCCAGATGTTTATACCTATAATATATTGATTGATGCATTGTGTAAGGAAAGAAAGCTAGGAGAAGCCAATAATGTGTTAGGTGTGATGGTGAAAGCTTATGTGAAACCTGATGTTGTTAGCTTTAATGCTCTAATGGATGGATACTATGTAGTTAATAAAGGGAAAAATGCGAAACAAGTATTCAGTGCAATGACTCACATGGGAGTGAGTCCTGATGTTAGGACCTACAATATCATGATAAATGGACTCATAAGGAACGAAATGGTGGATGAGGCCATAAATCTCTTTCACGAAATGCGAAACAGGAATATCGTTCCAAATACTGTGACTTATAATACTCTTATTGATGGTTTATGCAAAACTGGAAGAATCTCTCATGCTTGGGATCTTTTTCATGAGATGCGTGGTAGAAATCAACAAGCAGACGTAATCACTTATAGTTCCATGATTGATGTTTTATGTAAAAATCATCAATTAGACAAGGCAATTGAATTATTGAGGAAAATGAGAGAAAATGGAGTTCAGCCCGATATGTACACTGCAACAATACTTATTGATGGGATGTGTAGAGGGGGGAGACTTAAGAATGCACAAGAGATTTTTCAAGATCTATTTAATAAAGGTTACAATCCCAACATCCGTACTTATACTGTTATGATCAGTGGTCTTTGTAAGGAGGGTTTGCTTGATGAGGCATTGACCTTGTGGTCCAAAATGGAAGACAGTGGTTGTTTATCTAATATTATAACTTTTGAAATAATAATCTCTGCTCTCTTTAAGAATGACGAGACTGAAAAGGCAGAGAAAGTTTTTCACGAAATGATCTCTAGAGACTTGTTGAAATGATGAAAGGTGACACTGTATTTGAATAACAATGTGTTTGTCATAGAATGTGCATGAATGGTTTGTAAGTTTTGTATTAGATGAGTTGGTTTAGGTTGTAACCTCTGTTGCTGATGTTTTCCTGGTCTAGGGTTGATACATTTTTATTTTCTACTCTGCATTTTGGATTGCTATCAAACTTCTGTTTCCTTTGACATTACATTTCATTTGTAGAATTTGTTTAACTGATTAGTACAAAGGTTGAAATCAATGATTTTATTGTCTTTCAAGACCAAAACTGTGACCTCCCTCCCTATGTCTAAAATCTTGATGATTTTTTTATTTCCAACTGTTTGATATTTTCCTTTGATGTTTGTCAGAAACTAAATATGTTTTGTCTTTAGGGCCTTCAGTGTTGCACTTTAGGTTACCATTCCCAAAGAATAAGCACACTTACGAAGCTTAGGGATCTTAACCTTGGCAATAATCATCTTCATGATATGCCTATGCCTAAAGAACTTTTAAGTCTTTCTGAATTCTTTCAATAGCAGAATCTCACGTGTCTATTTCTTACCCTCACTGGATTAATTGCAGGTTCAATATTTAGCACAATTGGATACATTGTCCCTCTATAATATTTGCCTTACTGGTTCAATCCATTCTACATTAGGTCTATTGAAGAATGAGGTCAGATTTCATTTTGATTCAAAACAATATGCAGATATATAACTGGGAAATTTGACACAATTAATGGAATTACATCTATCATATAATTTACTCACAAATTCGATCCCTTCTGCATTGTGCCAATAAGAGAAGTATATTATTTTCTACTTTCAAATCAGCAAAATTTCTGGTCATATACCAGTAGAATTCCGAAATCTGAAAAAGATATTTGCTAGATGAGTGTGCCACTTTTATTTTTTTTTGTTCATAGGATTTGAATTATTTCTCCATGTTGTTCTGACAAGAGTTATTTGGAAAATTTCCTGGTTTGTTTTTATTTCCCATATACTTTGATTTCTTCCCCCTTAAAACCTTCGCTGTATGAACATTATGCAGCCTATTTTCTCACATCATAACATGGAGATGATCAAGCTGAAGTCTAAAAGAACTAGAGATATACCACTTCTTGTGTGTATGAAGGATCATGGCACAACTTCCTTTCATTCAATTATGGTTATACATAACCAGCTGATAAAGTTCTTACTTAGTTATAGATGTAGAAATTACATAATTACAATGATAAATTTCTTAGATTAATTACATAGCCATATATAGAACTCAAATATTGTATTCGCTGTTGAGTTAAGGTCGGTGAAGACTAATCTATAGTTTCAACCTCCTTGACAACGGTGGTGGCACCAAGTGCATGGCTGACAGATTTGGAAACCAAAATAATCAAAAAGTCAAATAGATCAGTGGCAATAACTGTTGAGGTTAAGTTCTCTTTGTGCAAAGTCTTCAACGAAGAGCTAACAAGCCTTGGAGAAATTAATTGGAGCGTTCCCTGATATCATTTTAACATCCTCCCCTGATTTCTTCATGATCTTCTTTATCCTTGCCAAGGGCAGAGAGTGGATGTGGAGCCCTGTCCTTCCAGATATCCATCTACACAGTAACCCTGAATATGCACCAGCTTGTTTCATATCTGTTCTACTTCACTACTGTGTGTTTGAGTTAATTTCAGTTTTAATGGTCTCTGAGATACTCTTAGTTGTAGCATCAGTGTCAAGTTTCAGTGTTATGTATACCATTTTCATTGAATCTTTCAGTTTCATTCCAATAACATTGCTGGCCAAGACTACTTTGGCTGGCTAAGTGGATCTAGAATAAATAATTATGAATCTTTAACTCCCAACATTATTATTCTATTTATATATTTGTTGCTTGTGTCTAGAAACATTAGGGATCCAGAAGTGTAAAATCGTTATTTAATGATTTGACTTATTTCTTGGTAAAGCATTAACTATATGACAAGGGTTCTTCTCTACAAGTATTTAGCTATTTGAAAGGATTGCTTAATCTTAGAAATATTTTAGGCACAGATATAGCCTTTGGAGTCATGATCTGCAACAATCAGTTCTGCAAAATTAGACCTATCATTTTATTTTTGGGTCCCAAGGCCAGCCCTGGCCTTTTCTAGACTTAGGCCCATTTTCTTGGCCCCACACACCATGAAATGGATTGCCATTCCACTTGGGCCGGGGCAACCCCCAAATGCACATTTTCTTCTACACAAACATTTCTTCGCTGCTGGAGCTCGACAGCAGTACCGGCGGCAGCACAGTGAAGTTTGACAGCAACACTGACGGCAGCAATGGTGGACCTCGACTGTAGCTCTTGACGGCAGCTCTCGACAGTAGGACACGGTGGGTCACTTAAGGTCTCAAACATCTTGTGTGCTTTCTTAACCCTTTGATACTCCTCTTTAGCTTCTTTGGATGCTTGAACTTGTATGTCTTTCAACTTGTCTAGAGTCTCTTGGCATGATTTTAGAGCTATGACTGCCATCAAAGTTCTTGCATCGATGTCTTCTATCATTGTCCCAACACCAAAATCATCTTGCAACAT